TAGTACATAAACTATGCGATTAATCAAGCAATAAACCATAGTCGAACCACACAATCAACCTATGGATAAATCTCAAATAAAACATCAATCTGTCATACTCGCTACTCCTTCGCTAAGCAAACTCCTAGCGAGTATTCGCTACTTGTTCGCCTAGCGAACGTGCTAGCGAATCTCAACAGAAGTTACTGACTTCATTCGCTACCTGCTCGCTACAGCGAGCTTCCCAGCGAATCGTTCGCTATCTCTTCGCTACACTTTCGCTACCAGCGAACACACCAAAATCCATTATGTCCAAGTCTGGGACCATTCGCTACTTGTTCGCTGAGCGAGCTCCTAGCGAGCATTCGCGACCTGCTCGCCTAGCGAGCTGCTAGCGAGTGTCTGCGTATTTTGTTTTTCACTTACTGTTATCCAACTCAACCAACTCCAAAAACTCCAATCTCACCAATCCAATTCCAATACTCTTAGTCTAACATTTCTAGACTATTCTACATCATCTATTTCAGATTTTAACCGATTAAATTGAGTTCTACCGATTATTCCAACTTTTGCCCTAAATGGAAAAGGATGGAAACTACACCAAAACCTCAACCCAACATATATAACATCATGCAATGATCAAATAGAAACATTTCTCACCCTTACCTCGATGAATCGGAGCTTTGATGTTGGTTCTTGATGATTTTCCAATTTCCTCTTCTTCTCCTCTCTTTCTCTTCTTCTTTCTTTCCAAATGTTTCTCTCTAACTTTCTTTTCTTTTCCTTATCTATTATATATTTCCTTTATTTTCCTTCCTTCCAATTTCCTTCTCAATTCTCTATTAATTCCAATTAATAAAAATTAATTTCCAACATTAATAAAAATCCCACTAAATCAATTAATTAATATAATTAATTATTTAATGAAATTCGGGCTGTTACACATGGTGCTTACATGTATTAGTGAGATGCATGCGTGGCCTTTTTTGTTTTGTTTCTGAATCTTTGTTTTAAAGTGGACTGGGCTTAGTGATTTATGCTTTCCACACCCCACCTTTTCTGGCCTAACATGCTCTTTAACTATTTTCAGTTCTCTTGGTTTTTCTAATCCGCACCCTTCCTTATTTATTTGTCTTATGTTCTATTTTTTTTCTATTTTCTATTTTCCATTTTAATTTTGTTTTTAATATTTTAGTCACCCAAAAAATTAAAAAAAATAGTTTTTTATTATTTTAACATCTTTAGAATTTTAACATGATTTTAATTTTTTTATTTTTTTTTTCTATTTTACTTGGATTTATTTTGTGAGGTTGTTTTACATATTTACTCTTGGATGAGAGGTTGTGTTTTGATGCTTTGTGAATACCTTCTTGGTCCAATTTCTCTACTGTGCTTAGGCACATAAATACCTAGGTTTGAGTGATGTTGTGGTGTATTGATGATACTTTCTTGATTATTTCTTAGTTGATTTTATTGATGATTCATACTCGATTGTTAAGGTGTGCTTGACTTGTTGAATGGTTTTGATGATGCACTTGTGCAATCCTCCTTGGGGTCTTTCTTCTCACTTATTCTTGATTGCTTGAATGTGAGTTAAAGTTTTGGTTTCATATTTGTTTGATCATCTAAGTGCTTTGAATTGATGAATTAGTTTTTTGATCCTTTGATCTGAATGTATCTTAACTTGTGACCTAGTCTTAGGACTTGTGCTCTTGTATGGATCTTCTTGAGTTTTATGATCTTGGTATGAGTTGAATGCCATGTTTGAGTTTTTGACATCCATGGTTCAATGTCTATTACATGATCCATTTGCTTCTTATGCCTCTCATGGATACTTGTTTCTTTTTCTAGATGATATTAATTGATGCTTACCTAGTTGCTTGTTCATGTTTTGAATATGATACTTGGTGATTCTTCTTGCCATCTTGAAGTTTTTTTTGAATTGAAATGTTTGGTTATGCTACTGCCTCATCATGATTTCATACCCTAATTTCATTACTTAAATCATTTGTGGCTTATTTCTTATGAACTAGTTGTTGGCAATTGTTTGATCATTGGTGTAGCTCATGTATAATCCTCTTGCGCTTATTTATCAACCTTTGGAGTGTGTTGAACATGTTATGGTGTGTCTACTAACTTGTCTTGATTCTCATCCTACTTGGTTCACTTTGTCTTGGCATGTTAGTTGATGATGTTTGGTTGTTACTTCAAGTCATGTATGATTGTGCACTAGTTGTTTGTATTTGCTTAAGTTATTGAATTGAAATATGTGATAAATGTTTACTTCATACATCATTGTTGCTTTGATTCAAGTTTGAAGCATATCTTGTCATGATGAATGCTTGTCACTTATGAATTGATTGTTGAATCTTCTTACTTTGTGTGGTGCTTAAGTTGAATGCTTGATAGAATGATCTCTTTCATCTTTGAATCTTATTTTCTTTTCCTTTGAGTCTTGCATACTTAAATGTGTTGATTGTGATTGAGTTGTGTAATGTTTACTTGTGCTTTTTTTTGCATGCTCCCTTAAGGCTCCTAGTCCAACTTAATTTCTGATTAAGCTTAGAGTAGGATGGACATTAGGCTCTCAATCTTTTGCATGAAAATATTAGGTTAGCTACCTCTTGACCTCAACCTTAGGTCCATATCTTGTACGATAACATTGGGGTAGGATTCCATTTCTCATCCACAACTATAGGACCATTTGGCATGACAACATCTAGGTGTGAGATCCCTTAGTCTTTTTCTTTTGACTTTTGAGTATTTCTCTTCTCTCTCAAATCCAAATCAAAATACGTAATAAATAAGATGAGTATAGTGCATCACGGGCCTTAAGTACATGGGAAATGATGAGTAGGAGTCTCTCCTTACTTCTTCTAGAGTGCTTTGCATATGTCCCGTCTAGGGGCGATCTTGCAAAGTATTCGCTCCTATGTCATAGACTTCAGTGCAATATGTATCTCCAACAAAGTCAATTCACTTCTTTAAAACACTTAAACAAATTAAAACCATTTTTTCCTTCCGGATTTCCTTTCAAATGTTTTTCAGAAAGGGAATGTTATTTCTATTCTACCACATATAGGCCTCGTCCCTAACTGCTGAAATGCAAACTTAGCATCACTCATAAAAGACACTAATCAAATTGTAGTCCACGAACTATGAATGCTCTGATTACTTCATTCTCTTCCAAATGAAGATGCGTACGCACAAGACGGAGAAGTGTTGGTGAGCACCATTCCTCTGTTCCCATAGTCCACGAACTACAAACACTTTGAATTCTTCATTCTCATCAGAATGAGGATACATAGGCAAAAGACGGCGAAGTCTTGGCGAGCACCCTTCTCTCATTTCATCTGTAGTCCTCTGAACTATGTTGACTCTAACTTTCCCATTGCACGAGGGAATACGTAGGCATATGATGGTGAAGTCTTATTGAGTCTCCTTTTTTGTTTTTTCCCTTTTAGTTTTCGTTAGAAGATAGGTTTTTAGATAAACAAGCCTTTTGGTTAGATCAACAAGAGTGCATCCCATTGAGTATAATGGACGTGAGGGGTGCTAATACCTTCCTCTCGTGTAATCGACTCCTAAACCCAGAATTTGGTTGCGAGACCATGTTCTTTCCTTTTTGAGGTTTCTTCAATTGTTTCCTTTCCCACGTCGAGATAAATAACGTCTGGTGGCGACTCTGTTTTCCTGCCAGTTATATTTTGCAGTTGCGACACCCATGCCACGCAACTTACCAATGTATTGTTTAATATTATTTGCAACCAATTATCTCTTCGCAATCACATCACAACTATGCAGTACAACATATAACTATATATTTTAATGATATCTTTGCAACGTATATAGCCGACATTGTAGATACAATATCTCTAATCATCCTCACCCTTCAAGTTTTGTTTAACCACTACGTGGACTAACCAAATGAAAATACATTTTGCCTCATAAGTTTTAAATATTAATACAAAATCTACTTGAATCCACATTTTCAAATTTAAACCGTCAAATTTGAATTTAACAACACTAAAACTAAGGTTTCAGCTCATTGGCAAACATTACACCTTAAAACTTCTTTTCCCAGCAACAATTTTTTTAAGTCAACTAAACTTAACAATTTATGGAACCTGAAGATAACAATCTATCTCCTACATCCAATGATAGGAAAATAAGGAAACTTATGGAATCACATGGTAAATGATCACAAACCAATGCTAGCAACGAATATGGATTGACATACGAAACACTAATGTCATTATCAATGGTAACCAACATGTACTTGAACATACAACACCATTAACGAATGTTACAAATGTGACTCACACTTCCCCATCTGATAGGCATAATATACCAAGTTCAAGTAACAAACAAAAACAATTTCATTCACGTGCTGGAGTTATCCTGTTCAATCGTTTCACAGACCCACTTTCAAATGAAAACAACAATGTGGCTATAATTCCTAACACCAATCACAACACCATGGATCATGAAAGACACCATGTTCATTTGTTTCAAATAGGTATTGCAAATACAGTCGCAATACCTTCTATCACTTCTTGCAAGGGTTCATCGCGTCATTCAAATGCTTTTCAGATGATGAAAGCTCAATGGGAAATACTTCGAATTCTGAAGATTCTTTACAAGAGGAACCTGTCATAGATTCATACCTTCAACGTACACTTCCTATTTATATTATTCATATTCATAACTATGTGTTCTCTTTTGGCTTATTACAGTTTTCCTCTTTTATTCTTAACAATTATCTTTCCCATTTTACAGAATATTCAGATATCGGTGACCCTGTTTAGGAATGCCAGTTCTGTAACGCATCCATGTGGTATCAAGAGCATAAAGACATGTATCGATATACCACGGTACCTAAGTTCGAGTTGTGCTGTAGGGGAGGGAAAATCGTACTCCCTTTAATAGAGCAGCTCCCCGGATATATTAAAAAACTTCTTTATGACAAAACACTTCCTACAAGTAAAAATTACCAAAAGAATATTAGAACATACAATGTAATGTTCTCATTCACTTCTCAAGGAACAAAGTTTGACACCACACATTCAAAGGGAAATGGTCCACCTACTTTGCGTCTGCATGGTCAGACTTATCATAGAATTGGAACATTACTTTTGGAGCAAGGCAATCCTCCAAAATACTCTCAACTGTATATTTTTGAGATTGATAATGAGGTCGACAATAGGATGGATTATTTCAGGTAACACATTTGATATATTTAGCTCATGTTTCTTAACAAACTTACATTGTCATTTTGACCAACAATATTTCTTATATGCACAGGGAGAATAAAAATGTTAAAAGAGAGGTGGTTTTAGAATTAAAGTATATGTTAGACAACTGTAACGTACATGCTAAAGCTTTTAGAATGACAAGGGATATGTTGAAGGAAAATTCATTCTTAGACTTGAAGCTGAAGCTTATTGCTGCTAGACCAGAGGACGTCCGTGTCTATAATAGGCCAACTATTTCTGAAGTTGGTACACTAATTGTTGGTCATATTGTGTCAGGTTCTCAAAGAGACGTCATTATCCAGGCACGTGATGGTAATTTGAAAAAAATAGATGAATTGCATCCATGTTACCTGGCATGCCAATACCCTTTGATATTTTTCTCTGGCGACGATGGTTACAGGGATAACATACTTCATATGTATAAGAACGAACATTTAATCATAAGAAAAAATTGACAGTCCGTCAAGGGTTGGCTTTCTTTTTGCATACAGGAATGCACAAATGAGGCTACAACATTGTTGTATTCAAGAAAATTATTCTAACAATTCTTGGTGGATGGTTACGCTATGATGGAGTCTGAACGTCTTAATTAGTTGAGGAAGAATCAGTCTAAGTTAAGAGTTAGTAAATATAATAATTTGCATGGACAATCTGAAAGTAATCAACATAGCAGAAGGGAAAAAAGGGAAAACGAGTTGTGTTGCCATCTTCTTTTGTTGGAAGCAAGAGATACATGGATTAACTATATTTTGACGGTATGACGATTTCAAGTAAGATAGGCTTCCCTGATTTATTCATAACATTTACTTGCAATCCCACTTGTGCTGAAATCACACGGTTGCTTTCAAATACAAAATTTAAAGCGACGTGATCGACCAGACATAATTTCTAAAGTTTTCAAAATCAAATTTGAAGAAATCACAGTGGATTTAACTAAAAGACATGTTCTTGGACGAGCGTTGGCATGTACGTCTTACAAACTTCATTACAAGTTTGATTTTAATGCTTTTTCGATATTTATAGTTGACATTTTTATGAATTTTGGTTTTTCAAATTTGTATACCATTGAATTTCAAAAACAAGGTTTACCGCATGCTCACATTCTAATCTTCTTGCACCCTCAAAGCAAGTATCTGACACCAGCCAACATAGATAATATCATTTGTGTGGAGATTCCAATTCCTAAACTGCATCCAACTTTATAGAACTTAGTCAAGGCACACATGATCCATGGTCCATGTGGTCTATCACGGGCATCCTCCCCGTGTATGAAGAATAGAAAGTGTTTGAAATACTTTTCAAACAAATTCATTGAGAATACAATTGTTGATGTCAAGGGGTATCCACTATACAGAAGAAGATGTAATACACAGGCTATTAAAAAATGGCATTCCTTTGGACAACAGGCATGTTGTGTCGTATAACACAAGGTTGCTATTGCAATATCACAAGGATATAAATATGGAGTAGTGTAACCAAAGTACCTCGATCAAATATATTTTCAAATACATACATAAGGGTTATGACCGAATCGCAACTACTATAGTACATACAACAATCGGAAGATTGCAAGATGATGAACCCATTGATGAGATCAGATAATACCTGGCTTATAGGTACGTTTCACCAAGTGAAGTATGTTGGCAGATTTTTGGTTATAAAATTCATGGGTGCAAGCCTGCTGTGGAACATATGTTATTTCATCTGTTTGGGGAGAAACTTTTATACTACGCTGATTTTGATAGAATGAAGGACATACTAGAAAAAGCAAGTGTTACCGAATCAATGTTCTCACCTTGGCTGGTTACAAATCCAAAATATGTAGAAGCCCGAAACTTGACTTGCGGTGAATTTGTGACTAAGTTTATATATGAAAAGAGAAATAGATTATGGAAACCGCGAAAAAAAGGGTTGACGATTAGCAACTTAAGCTGGGTACCACCTACTACTGGGGAACGTTTTATCTGAGAATGATGTTGAGTATCCTCAAAGGACCTACTTATGAGCAAATACGTAAACTAGGTGATAATCAACATGATTCTTTTAGGGATTCCTGCTTTGCAATAAGGTTCCTTGAAGATGATCGTGAGTACATTGGAGCTATTATAGAGGCCAATCAATGGGGTTCAGGTCATTTTCTTCAAAAAAAAATCGTCGTTATGCTTTTATCAGGTGCAGTTAACCGACCTGCTCATGTATGGGATCATACCTGGATTTTATTATCTGATAAGTTCTTACACAAACAAAGGCGGATAACACTCAATCCAGGTCCTTTACAGTCAACACTAATATCATTATACATACCTTTCAGTCTTTATATGAAATGACTTTTGTATGATAACTCATATCATGTATTGACATTTACTTAACATATTATACATATATTGCAGTACTGATTATACGTTCTAACATTGGAAATATATTTTTGAATTTTATTACAAACTTGCTTTTGAGTGAGTCAAAATTGAAATTTTTTTACGTTACTTGTGATTGAAACTTTACTTCAAGCTAATCGTAGAAGTCTCAAGGAATTCAAACCAATACCATATCCAGATGGATATATTATTCAAAAACTGGGAAACAGACTCATTTACGAGGAACGAAATTACAGTATCCCAACCATGAAAGCAGACTTTGCTTCTCTTTATAATGCTCTTACTGGTATTTCAATATGGGCAGCTTTTATGAATCAACAAACTTCTGTAATATCACATTTCAGTGATGTTTTGATCCAACTATTGTTTATCATTTTTAAAGAACCTTTTTTTCCTTTTTTTTAGATGAGCAGAGGAGTATATACACTAAAATCATTAATGCAGTTAATGCTCAACGAGGTGATGTTTTTTTCCTCCATGGTTATGGAGGTACTGGTAAGATTTATATGTGGAGAACACTTACATGTGCATTGAGATCAAAACATGATATCTGTTTGACGGTTGCGACAAGTGGAATAACAACTCTTTTGTTGTCGGGAGGTAGAAAAACACATTCTAAGTTCAAAATTTATGTTCCAACTTTGGAAAATTCTACTTGCAAAGTTGACTACGGCAATAACGTCACATAACTTCTAAGGCAAACAAAGCTGATAATTTGGGATGAGGCACCTATGGCTAATAAGTATGCTTTTGATGCACTCGAGCAAACTTTGAAGGATGTCATGAGTAATTATGCAAACTCCAATGATGTTTTTCATGGAAAAGTTGTTGTTTTTGGTGGTGAATTTAGACAAATTTTATCGGTCGTGCCTAGAGAGATTTTTTTTATATTGTCCACTTATCAATTAATGCTTCCTATATATGGCCTTCTGTAAGAGTTTTAAATTTAACAAAGAACATGTTTCTGTATTGTGGTCCGAGTGAAGAGGAAAAAAAGTAAATTGATACCTTCTCAAATTGGCTTCTACAGATTGGTGAAGGACGAGTTTCTGAACCAAATGACGGATATGCCGAAATTGACGTCCCACTCGAGCTTTTGATCACAGACTTTGTCAATTTGATTATTACCATTGTGAAGAGTACCTACCTGAATTACATTGATAGTTATCAATCTTACGATTACCTCAAGGATCGGGCCATCCTAGCATCAACTTTGGAAGTTGTTGATCAAATCAATGATTATGTTCTTGCATTAATGCTAGGTATAATTGCCAAATTTGTTTTTCATTTTCACTTAATCTTTTCTTATCCTATACTCTCCTACTTTTATCTATTTCATATATAGGTGAGTTAAGGGATTACTACGGCTCAAACATCATTGATCGCTCTATACACGACAACAACTTCCTTATTATCCTAAGCCTCGAGTTTCTTAGCTCTTTGAAAACATTTGGGCTGCCTAACCATCACATTAAGTTGAAGGTTGGAACACCTATTATGCTTATGCATAACATCAATTGGTCCGAAGTTTTGTGTAATGGCACAAGGCTAGTCGTAACTAAGATGGGCAATCATGTTATTGAAGCAAGTATCATGGCTAGAAAAGGGAAAGGAAAGTTAGTTTACATACCCCGAATGGACATGTCACCATCATAATCCCATTAGCCTTTCAAACTAAACAGTTGTCAATTCCCAATTATGTATCCTATTGACCGGTCACCAACTCTATGAGTTTTCGCTTATTTATTCGGCAAAAAGTCATTATAATTTAGTAGTGTTAAATGTTTTCAGGTACAGTGTTAATGACCCGCGTGACTGACGCAAGAAAATGGGGTTTTTCGGAAGTTTGATGATGAATTTTTGAGATCTCAGAGGACCTGACACGGCCCGTGTCAGGAAAGAATCAAGGAGGTTTGGATGGAGGCCACGGGCAGGGGGCTGACACGGCCCGTGTTGGCCGTAGCGTGGAAAATGTGATTTTTCAGGAGTTTTGAGTAAGTGACTTCCAAAGGGAATTCTGGGGATTTGAGGAGGCTAATGAATTGAATTTGTGATATTTAGTCCTGTTTGGAAGGAGGAAAGGGGACTTTTCGGACGGTGCAAAGATTTGGACGGAAAGAAAAGTTCATGCGATCAAGAATTGGAGGAGGAGCAACTTTCATGAGCATCTGCAATTGAAGATCAATCTCATCCACTATCTTGTAATGTATGATTTTATCTTGTACTTTGATTCTATTGTAAACATTATGAGTAGTTAAACCCCCCAATGCTAGGGGGTGTCCCTGAATTGATCGTGTAATAACCTTATCCCTTTTATAATGTAATTTCACTGTTTTATGAAAATCATTGTTATCGTATAATTATCTTAACGCTTTTCTTATTGAAAAATAGGATTTGTTTTAGGGTTGACCATAGGTTTGGAAAAACATGGTTAATATCTTTATACGATAAATCAATAGTATTATCACCTAGGAATGAGGATATACTATCATAACCGGAATGTTTTAGATAAATCATATTGCTTGATATTGTTCCTATACCACCAAGGAATTGGGGTATAGGGAGAATACCAAAGGGTTTTCTTAATAAGAAATTAGGTTCAACTAACCTTTAAAATCGGTAATGATCAAATTAAGCAGTGATTTTATAAATTAGGCTTGATGTTATTACAAGGAAAAGTTCATACACCTTCCCTAGCATGCCTTCTCATAGTTGTCCAAAGGCTTTTTATTTTATCGTTATTTTCATCTGTTGTCGAATTATATTAAAAAGTAATTTTTAAAATTTCAATTAATTTGTGTTCAATTTATTAAAAATAGAACTTATAATTATCACGCAGTCCGTGAGATCGATATTCGGGGAATTTGTCCATTATTACTACATCATTTAAAATAGTACACTTGCTATTTTTCCGATCAAGTTTTTGGCGCCGCTATCGGGGATTGCCAAATTATAAGTTTATTTTTAATTCGACTGAAGTTTTGTTGCTCTGCAATCAAAATCTATCTTTCTGCTAAAAAAAAAATTTATTTTTTTTTTATTATTATTACTTATATCTGTCTAACCTATGTATGCGAGGC